TTTTTTTTGTGCCGGCGGCAGGAAAATAAAAAAAACTGTGTTATCCCAAAATGAAAACACTTTACATTGAGACTTGTTTACTAGCGAGAAGGGAGATTTGTACGTTTATCAGAATAACCCAATAGACGGTCCCATACTTTGTAAAATTTTTTGGTTGATCCTTTCAAAAAAGTATTTCACTTTTTCGATTTTTAGAAACATGATCATATCCGAGAGCCACGTTGCTGCCTTAGGTGGAAATTGGGATTTCCATTCCAGAAGTATTCTCCTTCGAGCAATCAGAGTTGCAAAAGCAATAACATTTTCCTTTCTAGAAATCGCAGTCAACCCCAAAAATAGCCATTAAAGGACCAGGTTTTAAATGTAGGCCAAACGCATCGTTTAAAATCCCAAATACTGAATTCCAATAGTCTTTCAGCTTAGAGCACGACAAAAACATATGAGCTAAGTCTGCGTTGGTGGCTCTACAGCGATCACACGCTCCATCTGGGTATATTTTGGCAAGCCTGACTTTGCTATAGTGAGTATGGTGAAGAATTTTAAACTGAATCAGATTGAGACGCACAGAAAAAGTAGTATCGTTCACAAGATTAAGAGCCCAGGTCTCTTCTGAAACGACTATCCATAATTCTTCTTTCCATTTTGTCTTGATGTTGGCTGTTGATATGTTACTAAATGAAATAATTAAGTTATATATATTAGAGAGGAAATTCAGGATTTACCAGCGATAAATTTAAGATCTCATTCAGGTTAAATAACATTTACTGTTAATGCAGCTAAAACTATAAAGTAAATAATTTACTGTATTTATCTGTAATCGTCTTTTAGCAGCATAAAAATTAATGACACTTTAAAAAATGACCCTGAATGTTACAATCAGACTTAAAAAGTTTTGCTTCTTGCTGCTTTTTTTCCAATTTGAATTATTTTGCAAAGAAAACTGAATATTGAAATGAAATATATAAAATTGGTAAATCATTTTAAAAAATCATGCATCCTGTTTCTGCTGCTTTATAATAATTCTGGACGATGTGTTGGTCTTTAATGTAAAATCCCAATAAAATACATTTCAATTTTAAATGTTTTAAAGCAGCAAAATGATTCAATGCTTATATGAGAAAAAGGTTAATCTGTGTCAGTTTTTGCTCGTCTGCTTCCTGATTACATCCTGGTTTATCATAAATTAGCTTTGACTTGCAGATTGTCGTTCATCTATCTGATCTCCGTAGAAATGAGTTCCCAAGTCCGACAAAACTTCCACCAGGACTGCGAGGCTGCAATCAACAGACAGATCAACCTGGAGCTGTATGCCTCCTATGTTTATCTCTCTATGGTGCGAAAGGCTTTTTTTATGCATTATGTTAGAATTTAGAGGAAAATGTACTTTTCCTTTATTATTATTTTATTATTTCTTTGTTTTTTCTCGTCTTCCAGGGATTCTATTTTGACAGGGATGATAAATACCTTGCAAATTTTGCCAAGTTCTTCAATGACCAGTCGAAAGAGGAGCGTGAGCATGCAGAGAAGCTGATGAGTCTGCAGAACCAGCGTGGAGGCAGGATTTTCCTGCAGGACATCAGGGTAAGCAGGGCGCTTTCACTACACTGGAAAAATGATCTAGAAATAAGTAAAGATAAAATATATCTTTACTTAAAGCTTTACTTAAAGCAAACATGCAGACAATCCTTCCTCACTGGTAATGAAGGGAAATGACTCTTCTCTGGATCCTCGGTTCTCATCAGCCATCTTTCTTTTTTCCCTTTGGGATCCATGGAGACCCCCCCCCCCCCCGCCACTTTGTTTACAGCCGCCACCTGCCTGGCGCCGCGCCGCGCTGAAACCTGCTGCAGGATATGTTTACATTTAATGTTTAAATATATTAATTATCAATCAAACAGTCAAATTTATTGTCAACTATAATTTACATTGCAATGGAGATTTCAGTTTTAGTATTATTATATTATTCTCATTTTGACACTATTGGAAACATAATAAATGTTTGTTTGACCTCCTGCACACATATTAAAACAAACCAAAATAACACATTTTCCTAAATAAAAAAAAAAAAACTCTAGATTGGAGGTCTTCAACAGGGGGTTTGCGACCCCTAGGGGGTCCATGGAGGTACTGCATGGGGGTCGTAAAAATGTTGGTTGATTAGAGTTTTTTTTTTTTTTTATATTCCCTCCTGCAGTTTTTTGCACTAATGTAAATGTCTTTAAATCCACATTAACATGAATTCAACAGACTGTAGTAAACAGATAAATGGAGGCAGAAGATGTCTTTCAGTCATCAATGCTCACATTCAGCGACACACAGGAGCTCTTTCAAGCTGGACACCGTTTCATTCACAACACCTGTCCCATCAACCAGGAATCAGAAATACTTTAATAATCCCAGGGAGGGATTACTTTAGTTACATTACTCCATCTGTAATAGAGTGACTATAGGAGAAGTTTGATAGAACACTATTTATATAATCAGGGGGTCCCCGCTCCATCGCCATCAGTTTGGGGTCCTTGGTCTGGAAAACATTGAAGGCCGCTGGTCTAGACTGTAAAGTGATATTGTGGTTTATCTGTGTTTTAGAAACCTGACAGAGATGAATGGGGGAGCGGCCTGGAGGCCCTGGAATGTGCCTTGCAGCTTGAGAAAAGTGTAAACCAATCTCTGTTGGACCTGCAGAAAATGGCAGCCGAACACAACGATCCGCATGTGAGAAACATCCTAGAACATCCCGTTCACCGTCTGTCCTTTCCATCCCGCGCTGTAGTAATGTGACGTCTCCTGTTCTCCCAAACAGCTGTGTGACTTCATAGAAACCCATTTCCTGGATGAGCAGGTGAAATCAATCAAGCAGCTGGCAGACTGGATCTCAAGCCTGCGTCGCATGGGGGCCCCTCAGAACGGGATGGCCGAGTACCTCTTTGACAAACACACCATGAAAGAGGAAGCTAGTTAAACCGCCGCGCAGCCGCTCATCATCCTCTACATGACAAAGCAAGCATCCTGTGTCACTGATCGCTCCGCATATCTGCAGATATCATTTCATCTAACATTACAGCTCTTTGTGCTTCATTTTAGAGTTTAGACCATTCCAAGGTAAGATCTATAACCCCTAGATTCCACATCCTCCGTCAGCGCTCCACTTCGCCACGCTCACGTTCGTCCTGCAGAGTTACGTTAACATCCGCCGCTACTCCTCTGTATGTCGCCGTCCACGTAGGTCTTCTCCGTCCTTCACCGTCAAAATATGGAGCAGAGCTATTTTTAGCTCCGCTCCGGTCCGGCCAGGTCTAGATTCAAAATTTCCATCTTACCAAACAGGAAAAAGAACGTTGAGAAGATCCGGTTTGACTGATTAAAATATAGTACAGATGGATCATTAAATACTAATTAGAGCATAATTCTCATACATTCACCAAAACTAACTTTAATTAAATGATCGGTGCTTCAACAGACCAGGAAGCAGATTTCTCATCTCCATCAAAATATTTTATTTATACCGAGAAGGTTAAAGTTTAATCACATCCAGTCAATAGAAAGTTTTTATTGCAGGAATGGATGAAGAGACGCTGAGTTTGGAAGCAGAACAAACGGAGTTCATCCAAACCATGGATGATCCTAAATGTCACTAAAAGCCACAAAAAAAGAAAATATTTGGGCAGGAACCGCTCATCTGCTGGATGATGATGGGGATTTTTTTTTAATGCCATATTAAATTAAGCATTAATTTCCGCATGTTTTGCTCTTATGAATTTAATAATAATACAGCGCATGCTCTCCTGGAACAGTGGAGGCTGCAGGCTTTGCTTTGAGCAGGAGGTCTGGAGCGCAGGGGGGCGGGGCGGTTACAGAGGATGCGGGATTTCAGGGTAAGTAGTTGTACACTGCAAAAAAGAAAACTAAATAAGTCATTTTTCCTTAAAATAAGTGCATTTCGTCTTGAATTGAGGGCGTAAGTGAGACACTTTGCAAATGGAACAAGACAATTTACATTTGAAATAAGAAGAAACAATTTAATTGTCTTATTTCAAGTGCATAATTATCTAATTATCTTATTTTAAGAGTAAACATACTCATTCCATTGGCAGATCATTTTATTTACCTACTCAAAGTAAGGGAAAATTCACTTAATTTAAGATTTTTTTTACTTATTTGTAGATCATTTTTGCAGTGTATGACATAAACACCCCCCCTCCCACCTTATTAAGACCACTCTATGATCTCTGGAATCTGCTGAACCAATCAAATGTCCCAGGATCGCAGCACATTGGGGGTCATTATGCCCTCGGCACATACCGTCTCCCTCACTGCTTGGCTGGTTACTTTAAAACGTAGTTTTCACTACATGTAAACCTCCACATCACACTGGAAACAACTGAAATCTAATTAAGTAATTCTTTCTTAAAATACGTGCATTTTGTCTTGAATTGAGGAGGTAACTGAAACTTTGCCGATGGAACAAGACCATTTACATTTAAAATAAGAAAAAACAGTTGAATTGCTTATTTCAAGTGCATTTTTATCTAATTATCTTATTTTAAGAGTAAAAACACTCATTCCATTGGCAGATCATCTTATTTTTCTACTCAAATTAGGGGTAAATTCACTTAATTTAAGAAATGTTGACTTCTTTCTAGATCATTTTTGCAGGATATTTACTCAAAAAATGCAGTTTTCACTGGAAAAACGATCTAAAAATAAGTAAAAAATGTCTTAAATAAAGTATATTTACCCTTAATTTCAGTAGGTAAACGAGACAGTTTGCCAATGTAAATAGTATTTTTACTCTTAAAATAAGATATTTAGATCAAATGCACTTGAAATAAGACAATGCAATTGGGGTTTCTTATTTTAAATGTAAATAGTCTTGTGCGATTGGCAAAATGTCACTAATTTTAAGAAAAAATGACTTATGTAGATTTTGATTTTTTTTTCCAGTTTTCCTGTAAATGTTGATTTTTGCCGGACCTTCGTCAGCAGGTTCAGCTTACTGCAGCCGAAGAAACGTTATAATGACAGTAATTTCAGTAGCTTTTTGTTATGGATGTGTTTACCAGGCGTAATGCAGAGCTTCTAGGTTCTGCCTGGTGAGTTTTTGGTGCGGTCTTAGTCTGCTGTGAAGTGGAGGCTCACTGAAACCTGGCTTCCAACTGGAAAATAGTTCAGCTTTTATAACAAACCCCAGGAGGAAGTGGTTCTTTTATTAGCAATAAAGCCATAACGTGCGCTTAGAAGTGAGAAAAGCCATATGACAACATCCTGATATTCAATGCTATCAAATTGAAATACTATGTCTATTTATTTATATCATTTTAGAGGTTGTTACCCATGTGAGTGCTAGTTTTTATGGAGTACGGCTTCTAAACATGGTTTATTATTGGGAGAAAAATGTCATTATAAAGTTGTAAAAGATAATTGTTTTTTTTTAGTTCATTACAAATATCAGTAGCTGTTATCTTGTGTCTGTATAACAAGCTTGTTGATGAAAATAAAGCAATAGTACGGATATAATTTGTGTGTTCATTTTTATTTAAATAAAAGCAATTAAAATATCACAGCACAAAGTTAAAAATTGGTATACAAACAGTGGAGCTTTTTGTTGATTTATTTATTTTTTGCAGGAAAAAAAGGTTTTAAAATCCGTATCGACTGTTTTAATTCAGGCTTAGATGATATTTGCATAAGATGAAGGGCAGTTCGGAGTTAATCCGGTTTAACTCGCAGTCTAAAGCTTCGTAGATGCGAGTCTGTTCAGTCCAGTTTGAAAGAAACATGTTGGACATATGAATTCCATAAATTAGGTGAAAAAGAAACTTTAAGTTTCAGTTTGCCTTAAAACATTTCTTAGCTCCAACAGATTAACTCACGTGTCAAATTGTTTAAAAATAATAATTCCTTTTAAAAAAAAAAATATGTTGTGCTCAGTGGTGCATTGGGTAGCACTATTTCCTTGCAGCAAGAAGGTTCTGGGTACGATTCCCAGCCCGCCGTCTTTCTCCATTGAGTTTGCATGTTCTCCCTGTGCATGCGTGAGTTCTCTCTGGGTACTCTGGCTTCCTCCTTCCAATCTAAAAATATGGCTGTTAGGTAAATTGGCTTCTCTAAATTCTCCTTAGGTGTGCATGGATGGTTGTGAATAGTTGCGTTGCCCTGCGACAGTCTTGTGACCTGCCCAGCGTGGACACCGCCTCTGGCCCGTAGACTGTCTGAGATAGGCACCGGCCTCACCTCAACCCTGACAGAACCGAACAGGAGAAGACGGATGTTGTGTCATTTTGTAAATTTCAGCTCAGACAGTTTCATTGGACAGTTTCAGAATTTTAAAGGCATCAAATTAGTTTGTTTTTTCCTCAGTTCTGCTCCCTTTCTCTTCCTTATTCACGCCACTATCCACCAGAACTCCCAGTAGGTCCCCTTCGGCCAATGAGATTCCTGAATCGTTGGCTGAGTTTTGCTGACTCGTTTCTTGTGACGGCGCAGACACAGGAACTGTGTTAATATTGGTGCTTGGCCCCCCATTGCTGCTCCCATTGCTTGTCCTCGAGTTTGAGGTGAAATTTCCACTGTTGCTGTAACCGCTGTGGCTTGTTCCATTGCAAAGACCTCCTGCTGTGCTGGAGCTGTTGGTGCTGGCTGCATTAATATTGTTGGAGCTGCTGTTGGGATTACTTGGATTTGGTACCACTGGGTGAGAGGGGGGAGTAAGCGAAAATGTCCTTTCACCTCCGCCTGTAGCCCGAGCGCTTGGGGTTCCTGGCTGGTTGTCAGCAGGTGGGGGGGTTTCTAGAGTAAGGCGAGGGGGAAGAGGGCGACGGGACAGGAGGCCATGTCCGGGTCTGAGTTTAGATATTGGACAGAGTTCCGGTGCTGGGTCTGGGAAGGAGAAAGCTGGTCCGCTCTGTAAATCTCCCTCATCACTCATCCAGGGAAATGCAGAGGATGGTGGGGGTGGAAGATGGGTGGGAGTGTCAGGGGGGAGTAACTGGGAACCCACTGCTGGAGGGGCCATGGAGCTGCAGCTGCGATCCCACTCGTTCTGAGTCCGGCGGACGTGTCGAGAGCGAGGCACTGTAGGGGGCGCGCAGTGAATGGGTGTTTGGGGGCAGCTGTAAAATCCTGGTCTTTCGTACATGGGCACCGTGGAAAAGGCGTAGTCTGGATCCCGCTCCTGGTTCAAAGGGTGACATGACTGAGTTGGGATCGACGGCACTTCTGGATGCAAGTACAGAGGGAAGCGGCTCAGTGGGGCTCCAGGGCGGCGGCGCAACAGAGGGACCCGGGACGAGCGAGGAAAGTTTGGAGACTGGACACCCAAAAGACGACCCAACCCTCCAAGCAGTGGGGTGGTGTAGTTGGCCTCTTCATTTTCCTTGATCTGCTCCAAGTTGGACTGAAACTCCATCTCCTCCTTAGGAACACTGGGGGACATCAAAAAGAAGATTATATAGATATAAAGCATTCTTTGATAGTTCTCCAGAAAATAAATACTGCAGTTCACCTAATATCTAGAGCTGAGCCCATAAAGGAGGGTTTACGATGTTCAGCGCTGGCTGGAGTGTAGGGAGGCTGGGGCTCTGACTTATTCCAGTACATGTCCCTCTCAACCAGCGGCAGGCTGTCATACATCTCATCCACAGACACTAGAGACACCTGAAACAGAAAACCACCACAAGTCAAACAAGACAACGTCTCCCTAGAGAATTTTGATATAATACCGGAATAATTTGGGTCCGATCAGAACCTGCAGGTTTCGATCAACAAGCCAGTTTGTTTCAAAGTCGTCGTCATCTTCACCAAAAGGATTAATGAGCTGTTCAGCCACCTGAGACCATCAAAACAGCAACAAGAAGGAAAACTTAAACTAACGCTAAAAGTAAGACAAATAGAAGCGGTAAAGTTTTGCGTCTCACCTTCAGCCAGCCAACGTAGAAAAAAAACTGTAGCAGGGTAAAAACGGGCAGGTAAAAATCCACATCATGACCCGGATATCCCTGAGCAGGATCCAAAAACTGTCGACCAATCAGGCAAGCCAGAAAGAAGCTGTAGACGGCTACTGTTGCCACCTGTTTCAAAGGCATCAGTCATCCATTTCATTAAGTAATCAACGTACCATCTGCTGCTAAGATCCCAATCATCCAACCTGAGTGTAGACAAGCGGGAGACTAATCCAGTCATAACCATACAGCTTCATACACTTTGCTCTCAGACTGTTCAGCTCCTGAATGGACAAAAACATCCCGTCAAACAAAGGATCTTCAGATGTTAATATCGGCAGACTGATGTAACATGAAGACCTACAGTGAGAATGGCAGTGAGGGCCACGTCATTGTTGATACGACCCTCAGTCCGCGCTCTCAGTGCCAGGTTGACAAACCACGTACAAGGCACCCAGAACTTGTTATGGGGAGAAGGTAGATCCTCCAGGTGCCTCAGTTCTTCTGAGGTCATCAAACCTGAAAGGAAGAAACTCATAAAGGTTTGTTGTCTGTCTGTATCTGCTGTTTGGACTGCGAGTCTATAGCTGGGTGATGTTGCTCTAAAAGCTTTGACCCACTGTAACGTTGAAGGCTGGTTTATGCTCAGAAACCAGGTCGTCTGCGTGTGTCGCAGTTAATGCAGATGTGCCCCGCCCCTTCCACAGACACCCGACTGCACAGCTCCAAAATTGTAGGTGAGCGCAGACAGGAGGCCTCTGATTGGTCAAATCTCCATCCGCTCACACTATGCGTATTTCCTGTTTGGTTTCTTACGGGCTTGTTTTGTTTGTCTGACCGCCATTGTGGAAAATGACTGGTGAAGATGGAGCAGCTAGCAGAGGGAGGTGCGCGAGAACGCTGGGACCCTTTTTCCACCTGGATCCCCGCTCTTTTTGGCCCTCATGTCCCTCCGTTGTCGCACAAACTTGCCCCCACTTCCTCACCGTATTTAGACCCACAGCTAGTTCCTGATTGGCCCTCTGGCGTTGTGGGGTGGAATAACAGCGCAGACCACGCTTCAATATTGGGCATAAATCAAAAATGCCTGCATCAAGCTCACTGCGACACACTGCTGCGGGAGGATAACCAGGCCCTAAGCCAGGCATACACTGTATGATTTCTTTTTTTTGCCCTTTTCGGGCCGATTCTCCAGTCATGCAAGAATTTTTTCGATTGGGCCGACTTTCAGCCTATCGTGCATTGTGTAGTGTGCACGGGGTAACGAGCGGAGATCTAACAAGCAGTGAGAGGCTGACCTCCTGATCAGGAATCGTAAGGTCGGGAGAAAATCAAATGTCAGCCGTCGTGAGGTGTTGGTGGGTAAATCCTGCTGTTGAAGCAGAGCCATGAGCTGATTTACCAGAACTTCAAGCACTGCAAATGTTCAAACAAGGGAGTTCTTGTTGTTCTTCCAGATTGATGAGTTTGATCAGAGTCCCACGTGGTTTTTAGACGTACAGTGTGAGCAGGTAGATCGCATCAGAGCTGTGAACTTTTGAACCCTGTGGTTTCGTGGTACAGTTTGAGTTATAGCCGCGTGCAATGATTGAAAATATCGTACAGGTTATGCCCGGCTTAAGGATTTCCTGTTGGATTTTTTTTTCACTGGAGACGTTCTGGGGTTTTATTCTTGTGCCTTACCTGCCTGCACCAAATGCTCGGTGGTTGGAAACCTCTTGTAGACTGCAGTACTGACGGAGCGGTATATCAGGACTCCTGAGAGGTTGACGTAGCGCATCAGGGTTCTTCGGGTCAACCTGGCAGCCTCATCCGTCCCACGGACATGGCCCCCCACCAGTGCTGCCAAACGGTCTGGCCAGGGTATGTTCTCGAATTGGCCCCACCAACGGGACACAACCAACGTCACATAGAAACCTGGGTAAAAAAAAAAAAGAAATTGTTAAGCACAGTTTTAATCAACCTTTCAACAACATTCATTTGGCTTAAACCAGCAAACTCACCCAACACAAAAGACACAGGAATGAGTTCTGCGTAGCGGTCACAGTATATGGAGAGCTTCTCAAACAGCCTCTTCTGTTCACTGCTTAACATAAACCTGTTGGAGAAACAGCCAACCTGTTATTTAAATCACTGTAGACTTTCACACATAGACATGATATAATT